CTTCTCTCTCTGTTTGCCCCTCAGGACCCCTCATGGCAGCCTCTGTTCTCAAACCTCACCCAGCCCCCAGGCCCAGCAACCAACCCAGTCTCTTCATACCTGGGAGCAAGAATGACCACCGACAGCGAACATGTGCCCCCGTGGCCGAAGGTCTTTACGTGGGTTTTCCCATTCAATTCTCAAAATAACCCTCCCGGCAGGGGTATCTGTTATGCTCATCATAGAAGGGAATAGAAGCTCTGAGTGATGAACTAGTGGAGAGGTCAGGATTTGAACTCGGGCAGCCCAGTTCCAGGGCCTGAAAACGACTGGCCCCGCTCAGCTTCCGGATTGCTTCTCCTGGACCGGGTGACCCTGCCTGGCCTGGCGAGCGATGGCACAGGACGGGAAGGGCTCGCACAGCACCCAGGGCTGCGGAGGGAGGGGCAGCCAGGGCTCTCGCTGGAACAGAAGCTGCTCCAGGGCAGGGGTTTCGTCTGTTTTGTGCTCTGACACATCCCAGGCCTAGAACCGCACCTGGCACACAGCAGGCACTCGGGGGCTGCTTGCGGAATGAACGAACCCCAACATCTGGGCTTGTCCTTGCCAGATGAAGAGGTGGAGTTAGATGTAGCCTTCGGAGGGCCATCTATGACCACCTCACCCTCTGCAGGGGCCTCCTTGGTCCAGTCCGGGAACATCCACCCGGGAGTCTGCTCAAGGCTGTGCCTCGGGATGCTAACAGCCATCAAGGCTGCAGGCCCTGTGCTCCATACGGTGCACGGACCGGGCTGCCGGCGTTAAATAAGACGAGGCCTGCTTCTTCTCAGGGTCTCTGGCCACCTACGGAGCTCGGTGACTTGCAGACGGGTCTTCCCTAAGGATCTGTCATGCTCCCGTCCTTTCCGAGAGCATCTCATGGGGCCAGCAGGGTGCACACTATGCTATGGGAAATGAAATGCCAGTCTGTGTTGTTGCCTTGAGTTCACTGAACATACTTGAGGCCCTCCTGTGTGCGCAGGGATGCAGCCTCGGGTTCTCCCTGCTCCTCTGGGTTTAGAAGGGCCTGGCCGGGCTGCCCGCCCTCATTAACCTCCCTCATGGTGGGAACTCTCCCCGGGGAGCCATGGTGCCCCCAGGCCTCCTCCTCCGCCTCTGGTTGGTCTGGGAGATGGCGCTTCTTCCCACACTTGAGCCGCCCGGCCTCACCTTCTTTCACGCTGTGGTTTCAAATGCAATTACATTTCCCTACGCAGGTTCCAGGCAGAATGTTAAGCTCGAAGACGATGGCAGGAGAGTGCACTCATTGTCTTCATCTCGTGTTGAGAATCTGGAGGTGGGGCCTTGGACAAGGCTGTGTGAATGAATGACAGTGAGACAGCCTCTGCCCCTTTAGGGGTTCCTTTAGTGCCCGGCTCTGTGCCCTGGAGACTACACCCTCAAAGCCTTTCCTGGGTCCCTCTCAGCTGTCTGACACATGGTATCATCTTCCAGAACCTTCCAGGGCATGCTCTTGGACTTGGCTATTTTTTGTGTTGTTTTTTTTTCCTAAAGGGCATATGTTATTATAAAGAATTAAATCTGTTATTATTAAAAATTGCTTCTTTGTGCTCATTTGTTCGTGACCATCTGCGCAAGCAAAAATGATGAAGGTCTGAGTGTCCCGGTCACTGGAGTGTCCTGGTTTGCAAGTCTGGTCTCCGTCTCTCCAGGGCCCCCTTCCCTCCCTACCCAGCTGGGCGCTGCACTGTGCTGGCCGGTCTGGACCTCATCAGGGGCCCTTCATGCCCTTGGACTTCCAGTTGGGTGGCCCAATGGGCAGTGCTGGCAGGGGGGCAGGAGCGTGAGGTCGGGGACGGGTTGCCTTGGTTCTCTCCTGGCTGAAGGTCACACCCCCTCCTGGTGGCCCTCCCCACACACCCTCTGAGCTCCGCCCCGGTTCCCTCCCCTCGGCCTGAGGCTCAGACCCTGTGGTGTCCAGCACCTGACCTGCACCATCGCAAACAGGCACTGTATTCACTCCTCTTTGGAGACCCCCTTCCTTGTACCATCTGTTTCCTAGGCCGGCACTGATAGGGCCACTCAGCTTTCCCCTCCTGCCCCCCTCTTCCTCTCCCCTCCCCACCCCCCTCCCGGGAAGGACCTGCTGCTGTCAGTTCCAGGGGGGTTCATGATGCCGACTTGTGGAAAGGGGGAGAGAGGGGAGACCCAGGGGATCTGTGTGGCATCAAGGAGACGGGGAAAAGAGGGAAGAGGATTGGAGAAATCCTCAAAGTTACACACTCGGAACTCCCTTTATGGGGCTTGAGAAATGCGAGTCAAGAAGTTCAGCTACTCTGAGGACCTGTCTGGGCTGCGCGGGGCTTCGGCCTCACCAGCGGGCCTGGGCCTTGAGCACAGCCCCAGCCCTGAACCCCAGGCGGACCTTACCTTCCGACCTCTCCGGAGTGGCCGACTCTCTGAACCCGGCATCGTTATCCCGCTGCGACCAGAATAGAACCCCCTCAAGCTAAACCTGACCCTAAAGTGGACCCGAGCCAGTGGCGTGTCCCCTCCGCAGCTGCGGGCAGTTCTCAGGGTCATGGGAAAGGCTGCCAGCTCTACACCCTGCCAGGCCCGGCCTGACCACACACCTTCCCACTCACCCCCACGGCGATGGGCAGGGCGCGACCGCGCCTCCCAGACGTGGGAAACGGCTGCGGGCACACAGCGCTAAGTGCTGAGGCTGGATTTGAACTCCCGTCTGCCTGACTCTCAAGTCTGTCCCCTTGACCACGTGCTTTGCAGCGACCAAGGCTGCCCGAGCAGGGACACAGGGGCGGCCACAAGGCACCGGACACAGCCGGGGTTGGGGCACGGTGTCCTTGGCGAGCCCAAAGAGAGAGGGGCTGGGAAGAACCTGGGGGGCCAAGGGTGGCCAGGACCAGCGTGGCCCGTGGTCCACAGAGGGGGTGCAGGCCCAGCCTGGGCGAGGGCAGGGGCGCAGGGAGAGGGAGGAGAGGCCCGCTCAGCACTCACCCTCTCTGTGTCTGTCTGCCCTCCCTCCCCTTATCTCTCCCTCTTCCTGCCTTTCTTCTCCCTCCCCACCCCCTTCTTGGAAACTGCTCTTCTGAGGCTCCTCAGAGCCCCAGTTCCCCTTCCAGGGTGGATCCCAAAGCCCCAAAGGACACCCATCGGAGAGTTGACTCCCAGGCCACCTTTAGTGGGGATTTTGGGGGGAGGGGGTGGCGAGGCCCCGGGGACCCCTCCCAGGTGCTCTGCACAGTCACAAAGGCCTCCTTCCAGCAGGGCCAGGAAAAGCAGGGCTCCCAATCCCCCACAGACTAAACCTAGCAACAGTCAGGGTTCCCATGGCAACCCGCGATTTATTTTTAGTCCCACTTTAACATTAACATGATGTGAGGGGATCTGAGACTTCCATTACTCTCTTTTAAACAGCACCCAAAAAAAGGAAAGAAAGAAGAAAGCGACTGTTTGTAAGGCGGTATGAACCCCTGGGGGGCGGCAGGGGCGGGGGGGGGCTTGTCTTGGGG